TTAATTAATTATATGTGGGAGGCAGGCTTGAGCCTAGCGTGAAAGTCTTATTGACAGCCATACAGCAGGCCTGAGGCAATGGCCAGACCGCTGGAGCCACAAGGAATGCCTTGTGACATTTGCTCCCATTGGCAGATCATGAGACTGATGCCTAGAGCTCGCCACTCCCTAATCACCACCCTTAGAATCCAAAATTGCAACACTTAGATATTGCAACAGTCAGGGTCATGTGGTTTCCAGAAATCCAGACTCTGTAATCTGAAATCCAGTATGCTAATGAGGCATCCTTAAGTCTGTTATGCTAATAGGATGCTGTCTGTTATGCTAATAAGGTATCCTACTTGCTGTACTGTAATAGGATGCTAAACCTGTTATGCTAATAAGGTATCCTACTTGCTGTGCTGTGATTGGACCACTACTCCTATATAAGCTTGTGCCTTCCTGCAATAAAGCAGACCTGTGTCACTGAACCTGGTCTTCTGTGTCTGAATATGGCTCTGCTGACACAGTCTCCTCACCAGCCCTGGGGTCTGGGACCGGGAAGAAGCGACGACGACGACAGGAGGCGCACAAGTCAAGCAGAAAAGCCGCCTCAGCACCAGGCGAGCAGAAGAGCAGCCTCAGCCCAGGGCAGGCAGAAGAGTGGCCTCAGCCCAAGGCGAGCGGAGGAACAGCCTCGACACCCATGAGAACGAAGGAGCAGCACCCATGAGAACAGAGGAGTGGCTGCCTCTGGCAGTGACCGCAAATATAGATGCAAAAATTCTCAACAAAATACTTGCAAACTGCATATAGACACACATGAAAAAGATCATTTAGCACCATGATCAAGTAGGCTTTATTCCAGAGATGCAGGGATGGTTCAATATACGCAAGTCAATAAGTATCATCAATCATATAAATGGACTCAGAGATAAAAACCACATAGTCATCTCGATAGAGCAGAAAAGGCCTTTGACAAAATTCAGCATGCATTTATGTTCAAAGTCCTAGAGGGAATTGGACTGGAGGGAACATACCTCAACATAATTAAAGTAATATACAACAAACCCACAGCCAACATCATTCTAAATGGAGAAAAACTGGAAGCATTCCCATTAAAATCAGGATCCAGACAAGGCTGACCACTATCTCCACTACTTTTCAACATAGTGCTTGAAAGTTGCTAGAGCAATAAGATAAAAGAAGGAAATTAAAGGACTACTAATTGGAAAAAGAAGAGATCAAAGTATTCCTTTTTGCAGACAATATAATATTTTTATTTTATGTGTATGAGTGTATTGCCTACATGATTGTAGGTGCCCCTATGTCATGCAATGCCTGCAGAGGCCAGAAGATGTTGGATCCCCTGGAACTAGAGTTATAGATTGTTGTTAACTACCATATGGTTGCTGGGAAGTGAACCCAAGTTCTCTGCAAGAGCAGCTAGGGCTCTTAACCGCTGAGCCATGTGTCCAGCTCCCTTGTGTGGCTTTGTTTTTGTTTTTAAAGCAGCAGTCTTCATATTCCCCCACTCCTCTCTGCCCAGAACTGTTCTTTGAGGTGCTCCCTTTGCAGCCTCAGCCCACCCACAAGCAGCTCATGCTCTCCCTTCTGAAAGGGCTGCATTTCATCCTCTGATCGCAGCAGTGCATTTAAAGGAAAATTAGCTGTTTTCCCACACATTGTGGAAGGGTGCCTGTTGTCTGTAACAGAAGCTACATCATTTGCTGCTAAAACCAGTACTGTGCCTGATAGCTTTTTGTGTCTGCATACCCAGCAGATAAATCTAAATTCCCAGAGAGGCAAAAGAAAAGTATGTTTATCATTTTCTTGGCATATTTGTTACTTTTACTCATTGCAGTGACAAAATACCTGACAAAAGCAACTTGAGGGTTTATTCTGCTCACAGTTTGAGGATACAGACCAGCATGGCAGGGAAGGCATGGCGGTGGCAGTAACATGAGGCGGGGCAGTTGGTAGCATTGCACCCACAGTCAGGAAACAGAGATGAATGCTGGTGCTTACCTCACTGTCTTCTTTTTCCCTTTTCTGTTCAGTCCCGGACCCCAAGCAGTGGGATGGGGCTACCCACATTCAGGGTCTTCCTTCCTCAAACTGCTCTTCATAGGTGTGTGTTCAGAGTCATTCTAGATCCAGTCATATTGATAATCCAATCTAACCAGCACCCTTGGTACTGACAGCTTAGTCCCTGAAGAGGGAATTGTGCTCGCACAGTGAATCTCACTGCACTTACCTGTGTCTGAGAAGTGTTGCCAAAGTCTGTCTTTGCTGGAGAGGTGACAAGAGGTAGAACTGTTGTTCTGTAGAATTTCTCAGTGACCAGTAAACTTGAATATATATGTTTAAGAAGCATTCCTATTTCATGAACTGTTCTTAGTTTTTCTCTCATTTTGAGTTGTCAGTCTTTAGCTATTAATTTGAAGGAAATAGCTTTTCTCTGTTTATCATTTTCCTTTGCTTTTTCCCCCAGATGGGAAAAAGTTAAATATTTAGATATGTGGTTGTAAATCATTTGGGGCCTTATGGGTTTTATGCTTAGGAAGTGCCCCCCCCATCTTTTCTTTACTTGAAATAAGATCTTGCTATATCACTGAGGCTGGACTTAAATTCTCATCAGTCTTTTTCCTCAGCTTCCTGAGTGTTAAAACTTAGGGACTTCTACATGCTCTACCATCCTGCATCCTTGGTCCATTTTATTTTGACACAGAGTCTAAGTTGTTGAGGCTGACCTGGAACTTGAGATCCTTCTGCCTCAGCCTCTCAGGTAGCTGGTATTACAGGCATGTGCCAGAGTGCCAGTCTCCAGTCTGAATATCTTCATAGCTTAATTATGTCTGACTCATTGAGCCCTCTTTATTTTGGTAAAAATAAAGAAAAAATATAAATAAAATATATTATTCTGGCTTTAATTGCTATTATAAAACTAAAATCTTTGTATTACATTTTTTAATATTTTATTATTTTTATTTTATGTGTATGAGTGTTATGCCTGCATGTAGGTAAGTGCACCCGTGTTGTGCAGTGTCCACGGAGGTCAGAAGAGGCTGTCGGATCCCCTGGAACTGGAGTTACGACAGTTGTTAGATGCCATGTGGGTGTTGGGATTCATACTCAGGCCTTCTACAAGAACAGTCAGTGTTCTTAACTGCTGAGCCATCCCTCCAGCCCCTGTATTACATTTTTTTAAGATTTATTATGTGAGGGCTAGAGAGAAGGTTCAGCAGTTAAGAGCATTGGCTGCTCCTGCAGAACAGATTTGATTCCCAGTACTCACATGGTCGCTAACAACTATCTGTTCCAGGGGATCCGATGCTGCCTTCTGACCTCTGGGCATTGCATGACACAGGTGCACTTACACACATTCAGGCAGTACACTCAGACATATAAAATAAAAAATAAAATGTATTTTAATTCTAGAAGAGTAATTATGTGTATGTATGTGAGTCTAAGTATGGGCTTATGCACATGTGTGCAGTGCCCATGGAGGCCAAAAGAGGCCATTGTTTATCCAATGGATCTGTTGATTTAGGCATGTTGATTTGATTCTGAATCTCTGATTATTGATAAATTTTCTCATTTCTTTTCAACTTTACACATGCATGTGTTATCTAAGTGTAGCTAATGGTTTTACCAGTGAGCAGTAATAGTGCCTTGCTGTTTAAAGACTTCTCATTAGAGATGGTGTTCTATCCAGTAGGCTTTCTTCACCTGTGGAGACCACTGTGAAGTTTTTATTTGCACTGTACATGGAAGCATGGGGAGTCAATCTCCAGGTGGGATTCTTGACTGACATGTTGATGTGGGGATTCCTGGTTGCTGTTTTCTTGTTACCTCGGCCTCAGTGCCCAACATCAGTAGTGCTAAAAAATCTTCCTTTGTCGTGGTGGTGGAGTTAGAGGCTCCTTCTGCCCCCCCCCCCGCCCCCGCCCCATTCCTGCACTCCAGGCCCTTCAGAGCCCTGTAAATAGCTGTTTCTTACACACCTGGCCAGCCCTCACCTGTTTCTCTTTGTGGGAGACTGCTGTTCCTTGTCACTTAATGTGTTTGGTTTTCTATCAGTTCATATTTTCCTAGAAAGTAATTTATTCATCTAACATTTCCAATTTGGAAATTAAAAAAATCAACCAAAGAAATAGAAAATCTGAAGGAAATAGAAAATAGATTGTAATGACTAAAGAAACTGAATTATAAAATCCACAAACTCCTTGTTGTGGGAGACTGCTGTTCCTTGTCACTTAATGTGTTTGGTTTTCTATCAGTTCATATTTTCCTAGAAAGTAATTTATTCATCTAACATTTCCAATTTGGAAATTAAAAAAATCAACCAAAGAAATAAAAAATCTGAAGGAAATAGAAAATAGATTGTAATGACTAAAGAAACTGAATTATAAAATCCACAAACTCCTTGTATGTTTAAAAAAAAAAAAAGAATTGGGTCCCCATAGCTTGGGTTTTCCTCCAGGTAAGTTTTACTAAACATTTAGTAAAGTTTGCCCTGAAATATGCCTTTTCTTAACCATAACCTCCACCATTTGCACATGGCCATGTTTGTAGCATGAGTCAGGTTTTACTTTGTGATTTACTGCCCTTGTTAGGAGGTCCATCCCATGTATGCCTGCTAATCCCAACACACAGACTGCTGTTTGCGTGAATTCTCTACTTAAAAACCAAGTTTCTGTTATGCCTTCAAGTCTAGTGGGTAAGGAAGGCAATATCTTGAGGTTAAATAGCTGCCCCCAGAACTCTGGAAATAGCATGTGTGCATGCACACCTGTGTAAATGGAGTCAGGGGCATAGAATGTGGTTAAGTAACCCTGCCTCACCATGGTTTTATGTCAGATACACATTTTTGATCACAGGATAAAGTTTCTATCATACAGATGCTTGTCTCCAGGAGTTTCACATAGGAATGCTGTACACAGGCCACACAGCTGGGAGAGTTGGCAGCCCCAGGCCTCAGCACTAACCCGTCCTCTATGCTCTTCTGGGTCTTCCAGGGTGAGGATCCACGACCTCCGCACCGATAAAATCGCCCTGTCTCTGTCCGCCCATCAGCTGGGGGTCTCTGCAGTCCAGATGGATGACTGGAAGATTGTGAGCGGAGGCGAGGAGGGCCTGGTGTCTGTGTGGGATTATCGAATGAACCAGAAGCTATGGGAGGTACACTCCAGGTAACTGAACCCAGGGGTGTTTGGGAGCCCTAGTTAAGACTGTGGGTCCCAGTGGACCTGAGCCTGCACCAGCTGCTTCCTATAGCTTTCAGGAGAGGAAGACTTGGAAAGGACACAGTCAGAAGAAATGCAGTCCCTTTCCCTTGCCCAGTTAATATTACCCAAGTAATGTCCAGCCTTATTAAGCAGGTCTAAGCTTCTTAGAACTAATTCATCTTAATGAACAGAAAGGTAACAGAGAAAGGAAGGAAACCAGCTAGGCTGGACTGACTTCCCAGTGCAAGTGGAAGGGTGCTCTCTTCCCCAGGCTGCCCACAGGAAGAAGGGCTGGCATAGGTCCCTGTTCTGCAGAGTCAGAGTGTGTGGAACATTGACCTGCATATAACTGTATAGATGGGCACTCAGGGTATAGATGTGCAGAGCTTCAGCTAAGGCGCACTCCTGATCTCAGCCTTGAGCAGGACTGTTCAGGAAATAAGTCAATACTGCACTAAGCACAGGCCAGGGGCTGCTCATAGGCAGGTGCATTTCTGTGAATGTGTCTAACTGGTAAAAATGGCCATGTGAGCCTGCTTAAGTTTTGAAACAGAGGCAGCCTGGAGCAGAAGTCCTCTGGAGTCCATGCCCGGCTTTTGTGCTTCTAAGTGGGGAACCTGCATTGGGGTCTCCCTAGCTGAGCCTTGGGTGCCCAGAGTGAGGAAGAGACCAAAGCCACACCTCTGCCCCTGTAGTAAATCAGGACAGCCCGGCTTTCATTAAGGGCAAAGGCGACTGCTTCACAAACCTCCCCAAGGCAGCAGAGTGAAATGGGTTTCTTCCTCAGCCAACAGTGTTGGTGAGTAAGTACTTCTGGCCAGCAGCTTTGAGCAGACCAGAGCCCCAGTGGTGCCACACTGCAGGGCCCTTCTTTCCTGATTGGGCCCATGTCCCCAGTCCCTTTTCTGATTTCCATGGTGATGTGCCATGTTGCCACCAGGTGGCGCCAAAATGCAACGCAAACTCTCACGCTGGATTCCTAGCTGCGTTTGGCTAAACTGAAGGAAAGCCACTATTTGTTGTCGGAGCCGATTCTCTGTGGTTCTCTAGACAGCATCAGCCCCCAGGAACTGCAGCCAGCCCCTCTCTGGATTTCAGAAGCTGCCCAGGCTGGCTACCTACCTCCACCAGATCTTTTTCCTCCATGCTACATTTAGGGAAGGCCTGGGGCAGTAAGGTCTCTCTCAGCATTGCCGCTGTGCCTCCACAGCCATGCTCAGCAACCCAGAGCCTTATCCCTCACCAGGGCAGTGTTTCCACCCTTCCCAGCTGAGGCCTTCTTTCCACAGAGGCCCTGGTCTCCTGAGCACTAGTCTCACTGCTGTCTGATCACTTTCCCGTCTGTCCATCCATTGCCCCTCTTCAGACAGCCCTCCCTTGCTGAGTTCTCCTTCATGCTCTTCCCTGTCCTCCCCTGGCCAACGCCTCCACCTTCAATTCCATTTCTCTCAGGCACATCCTCCACTCTAGCCAAAAGTGTCATGTCCCTGCCACAGGCCTCCCTTGTTTCCTCCTGTACCCCACCAAGCTGTTCTCAGAGGGCCTGTTGGCCTCTCTTGGCTGGTGTCTCCCATTCCACCTCCAGAGCCTCACTCAATCCCACTCTGGGCAGGGTGGGCTCCTTGCTGTAGATGTTTTGACTGCAATTGGTAGGGATGCATCTTACCTTCCAGCTGGTTTGGAGCTGCAGACACCCATCTACAGGGGACATGCTGCACTCTTTGCTGCCCCCTGGCTTGCACTGTGGCCACAGCAGATACTGCAGGAAGGTTTCTAGAGTGAGAGAGCCCAGAGCCACCAGCTACACTGCTAGCCTTGTGCTTTCGAAGTGCCCTCGGGCTAGTTTCAGCTCCATGTGGCAGATTTGTCTCTATCTGTGTGTCCTTACATCCCAAATATACCAGCTTGTTGGAGTGGTTGGCTAGAAAGTGCGAAGGGTGTACAGATGTGTTTGCAATGTGGTACCAGAGAAAGGCCTTGCTCACACCTCTTTGGGAACTGAGGGTGGGCCCGAGCCTTGGTCCACATTTCCTCCTGCTTAGAGGGAAGCATAGCTACAGGGTCTTGGTGTGCACTGCTCAGGCAGGCTATGCTCTTAGCCTTACTAAACTCTTTCTTACTGCTGCAGGCACCCTGTACGACATATCTCATTCAACAGCCACAGCCTCATCACCGCCAATGTGCCCTATGAGAAGGTGGTGAGGAATTCCGACCTGGACAACTTTGCCACTCACAGAAGGTCAGTGGGCAGTTGGACTGTGATTACATACATCCAGAAGGGTGCTTGGTGCCATTTCATTAGTAGAAGCTCCTAGTCACATATCCCCCTCTGGTATCTACCCGAGGGCCTACTTTTTGTAAAAATGGGAAATAGCCATGGCTATGGTAGACCAGAAGCACATACTAAGTGCCTGTCTGGAGTGCTCTGAAGTTGCTTCTGGCATCTAGGGCAGGGCAAGGGCATACCATCAGCTTAACAGAGCAAGGCAAGCTATGTGGGCTTGGGCCTCTGAGCTGAGGCCACATGTTGAGTTAAGCAAGGCCCCATCAGGTGCCTCTTACTAGACTCTTGGCCTGTCTTGTGGGCATCCCCTCTGTGCCCCCCCCCCCGCCTCTGTCTTGGGATCTGCACACACTGTGGGTCCAAAGTACAGATCATCACAGTGGAGGGCTAGCCTGGATGGTGCATGCCTCTGCCATCAGTGGCCTTGCTGACTAGCCCTTATCTTCATTTATTCTAGACACCGTGGCCTGATTCATGCCTATGAGTTTGCTGTGGACCAGCTGGCCTTTCAAAGCCCCCTTCCTGTCTGCCGCTCACCCTGTAACACCATGGCTGGGTACAATTATGACCTAGCACTGGCCTTTCCCTATGACAATATTTAGGGAGTCACCTCATGTGGAAGTAGAAAGAAAAATAGGAAGTACCAAGTTTATAAATTTTAAAATTGTAAGACAGCTCTGCTATATGCAGTGAAGGTTTGGGGTGATCACCCCCCAGGTGTGCCATGTGGCCACACCACCTGAGCTGCCTTTGCCTTCCTCCTCTGTCATCTTGCCTCTGGAGCCACCTGAGCAGAGGTAGAGTCTGTAGAGCTTATTCCTCCCTGTCTCTGTGGCTTTGAGTATCACAATGCTGATAACTCAAATTTAACCTTTTGGCAAGCACACCCAGCACAGAGCCTCCTCCCGCTCAGCCTTTTGGGAGCGACACCCCCTGTCAAACACCCCTGCCTTGTTCTGCACACTAGGAACACAGGACCTTGCTGTAGCTCCACAGCACTCAGCTGAGCCCCAACAACCACCTCTTTGGATCACATATATGAGATACTTGGGATGATCTCCTTTGTGTGTGTGCTGCTGGGGATAGGACCAGAGCCTCACATATGCTAGGCAAGCACCCAACCACCAAATTACACCCCTAGCTCAGGGTGGTCTCCTCTGACCCCCACAATACAGCCCAGGACAGTGGTGCTTTTCTTCATAACTTTACTGTGGCTAACAATTTATATTATATATATATATATATATATATATATATGTTATATACATAAATGTGTTATTTCACTAAGAACTACTTTGCTTACTGTTCTGCCCACCATATGTGATGCAAAGGAAACATTTCTTGAATGTTCACTGACAAAGCAACCACCCCTTCCTGAAAGGGTCTGTGCTACAAGAAAGTGGGGGTGACCTCTAGGAGGAGCCAGGACCTCAGCTTCTAAGGTGAAATGGTGACAGCCTGGCTACTGGCTTTCCTTCCTTTGATTCTGAGAAAGCAGCTTCACTGCCTTTGACAGACGCTCTGGCAGCCCCAGCTTACCCTTCCAAATAGCAAAGCTAGATCCACAGAGACAACAGCAAGGAGATCCAGTGAGAACACCCACTCACGCAACCCAGTAGGTATGTGCAAACTCTAGAAGTACTTCAAACTCCCATGTACCAGGCACCAAACATGCCTGTGCCTATGCACAGGCCACCAGGGCTCAGGCAGAGTCCCAGCCCCAGCAAACACAGCTCCAAGCAGTTCAAAGCAGAAACTCCAAATGCTTCCATGTTGGATCTGTAGAGGGTAATGAAAAGGGGAAATACACTTTGTAGCACCGACTGTCCCAAGCCGACTGAGGCCAGGGAACTGGAGAGGAGCTGTGATTTTGTAGGAAATAAGGCAGACTCAGACCCTCTAAGCCACACCTCAGATGCAACAAGAGCGGTATGGCAGTAAAGCAGGCCTCCTCAGAACAGACCCAGCCCAGCCCAGCCCACACAAAGCAGAAGACAAGCTGCAGCTCCTGCTAAGGAATGCAGGGTCCCCTGTGGACAGAAGTGTTGTTGACCCAGGAAGGAGTCAGGGTTTTTCTGTCACACATGAGTATCTCCAGGAAGTAGTAGTCACTGTGACCTCAGTGCTGGGGGTGGAACCCAGGCCTTACACATGCTAGGCAAGTGTCTACCACTGGGCTGCACCTCTAGCCAAGGTGCAGTTTCATGGAATGAAGGTTTGAGGAACTTTCTCAGGTTAAGACATTCAGTCCCCAAACATCCACCTCTAGCTGGACAGGAGGACAGGGTCACCTAAAGAGCCACACTCTGGCCAGGCAGTGCTGCCTCCTCACAGACCCCTCCCAGAGGCCGGCTGCCCGAGCGAGCCTTGCAATCAAATGCCTTCACACACAGAAGTGCCCCCATAGAGGGATGTCCCCTGCTGGCCTCTTGCTAGGTCTTCTCAAGCTCTCCTCAGTCTGCAGCTGGACCACTAGAGAAATTGCCTTTGTTCACCAGCAGCAGCCCCTCCCTCTGATGGGGCAGTCTGTTTTGTGGGTAGTCCCTCTTTCCAAGCTCAGAAACCATGAAAGGAGTTTGAAGAACTTTTTCCTTTTAATATTTTTATTATTTTTTGATGTGTATGAGTGTTTTGCCTGCATGTGTTTAAGTGTATCCATGTCATACAATGCCCAGGGAGGTCAGAAGACAGTGTCAGATCCCCTGAAACTGGAGTGACGGACGGTTGTTAGCCACCATATAGGGGCTGGAAATCAGATCCTCAGACCCAGGTCTCTCTGCAAGAGCAGCCAGTGCTCTTGACTGCTGAACCTTTTCTCCAGCCCAGGAGTTGGAAAGCTTTAAAAGCAGTTAGACCCAGAGAACTGCACTAGAATTAAAACGTTTTCAGTTAGCATCAGGACTGACAGCTGCTGGGGTAGTGTAGATTGTTCAAGTACCCTATTCAGGAAAAGCTTCTGGACTTTGTGAAGGGGAGCTTAGGGACACAGGGCTCACACACAGCAACCAGGTGGGTGGTGGTCTATGCTGTAAATTCAGCCTCCTGGGAGATGCAGCCCTCTTTGGCCAGCATGTCTACCCCGATTACACACCCTCTGTCCCCACCTCACCCTTGTCCCCACCAGCTTCTGGGGTTGCTTCTGCTCCACTGGCTCACAGGATAGGCAGACTCATGGACTTCCTTGGGTCTGCTCCTGCTTCCGCTTCCTCCTGTGCCTGCCTCTAATGACAGAAGATGCTTGTCCATGGCCCTGGGGACCCAGAGGCAGACCATGCATCTCTACATGCGGCTTCCTCCTGCCTTATGCACCAGTTCTGCACTGCTATTAAAAGTTTTGGATTTACTTATGGCTCGGGTTTCCTGCTCTGTCAGGGTGCACATTGGTAAGACTTGGGTGGATTTGCCATCCATCATGGCCACTGGTTTGTAGCCCATAGCTGGGAGATTTTTCTCAGAATTACCACAGAGGGAGCCCCCAACATGGCATGGGCATAGTGCGGATTCTGGGGTAAAGTGTCTCAAAGGCCTGTCTGCATACCTGCTATGTCATCTCTTTGGCTGGGCCGTCTGTCTTTTTATGCCACAGTAGCTTTCCTGCTGAGGCCCAGCCAGAAATTCTCGTTTCAAGATGGTCCAGGCTCTGCTCAGCCTTCACCAGCTCACCAGCAGTAGGGTTTTGCTTCATTCTGAAAGGGAAAGACAAGCACCCCAAGATGTAACCTTTGGTCCCCACTCAAGAACTCAGCCCCACTGTGCGAAGGTAGGGCACATCCCATTCGTGTGTTAATGGAAGCACCCTGGAGCCAGTGGCTCAGATTTGAGAGCAGCTTTCCCTGGTGAGGGGTTGACCTTCAGATGACTACTGTGGCTGCTCTTAGGGCAGTCCATGGCAGAGGCTGACAGGGCTGCTGCTTCCCAGTGAGCTTAGAGTAGCAGCTGGAGCAGCAGTGAGCCGATGGCACTGGCCAGCCATGGCACTATGAGCCACACAGCTAGGCCAGATGGTTACCTGGCCACTGTGGCAAGCCTGCGGCAACTTGGCCAGTACTACCTATTAGTGCAGTGGCAGAGTACCTCTTGCTGGCCCCAGCAGATGCCATGTGGGGACCAGCCTGCACTCAGCCTCTGATGGTGCCTGCTGCTCTGTCTACCCTGGGGAGCTGTCTTAACCTGGGAGGGACAGGAGCTCCCTGCCTCTCTCCCCAGCCAAGCCTCTCCTGTGGTGAGTGACCTTCCCTTAGCCCCCACCAGGAGCAATGCCTTCTTTAAGAGGGTGCAGCAGTACACTGCTGTCCATCAGAAGAGTCCTTGAGTGGCACTACTTCCTGTCTGAAAACACGAGTCTTGTCCCTTGCTGGCTTGGAGTCACTGTACCACCACCCTGCTCTCTGCTTTCAGAGTCTAGAGCCCTCCTGGGCTATGTTCATCCGTCATCAGGCCCTGGTGGCACTTGTCCAAACTCTGGGAGAGCTAGAGACAAAGGTTTCCTGCTGCCCTGGGGAGTGGCATGGTTCCAGGCCTGACTTCTCCCAAGGTCATGGCATGCAAGGACAGCCTTCAAGGCAGGTGTTGGTCAAACCCTCACCAAAGTGACCTGTACTTCTGATTCTCCATCCATGAGTAACACAGGACCATTTCTAGCATAGTAGAATTCAGGCCAGTGGGGACAGGTTCAACTGTTTGGGAAAAGACCCAAGGGTAGACCCTCTCCCATTAGCACAGCACTCAGGACTGTGGGCCAGAGCATAACAGAATGGTTTTGTTAAGGTCTTTGTTAAAGTACTTGTTTCCCCCAAGAGGTCAGAATGCAGGCTGTTGTGGTCTTGCTCTGTCCTTTATCCATAATTCATGTGTCATGTGGCTGCAGGTTTCCACCAAACCATTCCTATTAGATTTCCATCACACTGCCCTCTGGTGAACCTACCGGATTAATGTTTGCCTCAAACCAACAAACTCTAAAAAGAGCCAACTTTTTAAGCAGGGCATAGTGATACTCACCTGTAATTTTATAATTGGGAGACTGAGGCAGGAGGATTATAAATTTGAGGCCAGTCTAGGTTACACAGCAAAGCCTTAAGAAACAAAAAGCCACCCTTGCCCCTTGGCCACAGAGCAACCTGGGGCTTGATCCCATTATCAATTTGATTGCGGCAGAAGAGCAGAGAGTTCAAGACTTAGGTGGCTGAGGACCACACCCCACTCCACCTCATAAGCCCTGAAGCCCCCACTTACCAACAACCTTAGTTGGATGTGGTTTCTGATGGATGAATGCTACCCAGCATGCCTGTTTGATTCTGTGCCATACACCTGTCTCGGAACAAATTTCAGCACAAACCCATCACCTGCTTCAGCCAGCCAGTTGAGGCACCTTGTTTGGCTCGTGTTCCCACACAGGGATGAGGGTCTTAGCTGCATTGGGTCAGGGCCTGTGCAGCCAGGTATCCTCCCAGGGCATGCTGGACAAACCCAGAGGTTACAGGAGCCATTCTTGAGCCACCTGCTTCCTCCTTGCTGTGCAGACCACACTACCTAGATGATAAGGCAGTCCCCAGACCTGTACCCAGAGCAGTGGCACACAGTCTTTGTTGGTCAAAGGCCAGCAGCTCCACAGGGTGCCAGGGAATTAGCCTGCCCTCCTTACATGCAGGTTTTTACCAGTTCCTAGCCAGCCTTGATTTCTCCTGACTGCTGCACAGCATGCTGGAAGTTGGGCAGGAGTGCTCCAGGTAAGTTCTGCAGTTCCATGCCTGGGAATGAGACCTAGCCAAGTCCTAGTGATTGTGAACAAATGAGCTTGCTTCCGTGCCTGAAGGACTGCACTCCTGGTGAGTCAATCTCACTTTAATTAGCTGTTTGTATAAGCCATGCCCAGAGCTTCAAAGACATGAGCAAGCCCTCAGCAGGACACACAAGTTAACACATTTGATGCATGCCCATCATGGCCACATCTCCCCAGCTAGATCTTCAGGGTCAGGGGCTGAGGGAAGGTGATTCATTATTTATGAAAACATCTTACATTCATGAACTGCCTTTGTTGAAAAGAACAAAACTGAAGCAAATTGGGAGAGTCTCTGGAAGCCCAGGCCTGCGGTAGGCATGCCAAGGTGCTGGCTGCCTGCTGAGACTGCAGGCCTGCTCCCTCACCACAGCAAAAAGCTCAAGCCAGGTTCCAGATGCTTCATGTGTGAGTCCACCACGACGTCCTGCTGGCTTTCTAGAACCTTTCAGCAGGCAGCCTGGAAGCCAGTAGTTCCCCCAAGTGGCAGGGGGCAACTTTGCCAGGGCTCTCCCCAAAGCTGGCAGGGTTTGTCAGGCTCTAAAGGGGGAAGCAAGGACCCCCCACATCTGCCACTGCCTGCTGCTTCCATCAGAACCTTTGGCAAATTCAGACTGGCATTCAGAAGCAAAGCCCTGGCCGTACCTTCAGACTGCTGTCCTCACTAGTGCTGAGATGGAGCAGGTGGTGATGGGTGGTCCTGCAGCCCAGCATCCATCAGACTGCATCTAGTCTAGCCCTGTCTGTCAGTTACTCAGGACACCCCTCAGCTCCTCATCGGCCTCTGGGGTAGGATGCAGAAACCAGACTAATCGTGTCATATGCACAGTGCACCCCTTACACATCCATCCCTAGTATGGCTTGTTTTGCCGTTAAAATTTGAAACACCAATTGAACCTCGACCTCAGCTGTAGCCTGGGTCTCCCTGTTATGCATCAGTTTTTCTCCTTTTTCCTCATTCATTTTAAATAAGAAAACACCTGTTGAAAATAATTCATCATCTCGGGCACTTTGCTTGGGGACAGCGGCATGAAGGGGACCCACCCAAGTGGCCACCTCACCGTGGAGATACAGTCTGCTACCACTCAGCTGTGAAAGTAACCTCAGGCAGAGGAGGTTACCCAGGCTCCCTCTGAGACCATACCAGGGCAATTCGTCACATTCTGGGAACAAAATTAAAGCAGGAGTCACTCCCCTGGGCAGCAGCTGGGTGGTTATAGTGATAACAGCAGACAGCATTTTCCCATAGCAAACCAAGGGGAATAAAATGTATTGGGTCAGGGAGGTGACTCAGCAAAGGGGCTTGTGTACAAGCCTGCTAAACTGAATTCAATCTCTGGGATCCACATTTTAAAAACGTTAAGGAAAAAAAAAAGAAGCTGGATGCTGTGCACACACCATAATCCCAGCACCCCTACAGTGAGATGGGAGGCAGAGGCAGGAGAATTCCCCAGAAGCTTGTAGGCCAACTAGTCGGAGTATGCAGCAGAAATGACAGAACCGTCCTCAAAGGGCAGAAGGTGAGAATGCACTGTTGAAAGTTGTGCACTGTGGCAGGTGCCACACGCACATCATACACACTAATAAAAAATTTAAATTAACATATATACTTAAGGGCTGGGAAGGTGGCTCAGAAGTTAAGAGCACTTGTTGTGAAATCTGAGGAGCAGTGTTAGGATTATTCCAGCACCTACTTAACAAGCCCGGCATCCCACAAATACCTATAACTCCGGCTCCAAAGAATCTGATACCCTCTTATGGCCTCTATGCAACCCAAGCATACAAAACTTAAAACAAAAACAAAGCATATGCATCTGAATCCACCTACATAACGTGACAAGGATCTGGAAGGACAGCTGCGAGGGGGACACTGTGACTAACTCAGGGAAGGAAGGTGGAGCAGGGCATGAAGACCCCACAGCTACCCTCTGCACCCCTCAAGGCCTTGGGTCATGCAAATGAGATAACGTGGGGTTAAAGCTGACCAACACTCCCAAGCATGCCAATAGTAGTACTTGCCACTTTCCAAGAGAACTTCTGGAGGCTAGAAAGGCACCTCCCAGTGAGTGTCAACAGAGAGAACAAAGTGTTCCATAAGCAAAGCCTGAAACAGGCCGGGAGAACAGACACTGGCAAGCCACGTGCTGTGAGGGGACTCTGTCCAGGGCCCCCGTGGTGCTAGTGGTTGATCCTGCATGGTCACAGGTGGCCTCTGCACCTGCCCATGCTTCAGCTCTGCCGGCTCCACTTGCTGGCCCTCTGCTGACCCACCATTAACCAAGATGAATGGTCTTGGTGTCCAGCCCCTGTCCCCAGCTGTCCTGAAATCCAACGTGGCAGGCAGAGCTGTCTAAATTGCTTACTTGCAGTAGGCACCCTTGTCTCCACTGCTGCCTGTGCTGGGGACTATAGTAGCGGCCCCAGCTGCAGCTCCCCATGCTCGAGCTGATGTCAGCAGCCAGTCAGCCATGCTGAGGAAGCCCCACCATTTCCAGCCCTTCCAGAAGCCTGCCCAGAGCAGAGACTTCATGACTACCTGGGTGAAGACCACAGGTCGATGCCTGGTCCTTCAAGAAAATGGCACATCCTTCCTGCCTGTCACTCTCTGCTTCTCATATTGTGCCACCAAATGGATATTCGGGACAGATACAAACCAGGTTCATTAGCAAACCTTTATTGTCATTAGAGATAAAAACAGCAAAGTCCCACATGCCACGCCCCATGGGAAACGATGCTGGATGAGCATTGATGTTTATGGCTGAGGCTAAGGACTGACCATAGCAAAGGGTGGACCACGGCAAAGAGCCCACCACCATTGCCTTGGCCACACCAGGCTTCTACCACCCCTTGCACAGTGCTCCTCCAAGGGGCAGGATAGGTCAGTGGCAGAGGGCAATGGTCTCCATGTTAAGGAAGCGGACATGCATCTTGGTCTCTATGTCGATCCCCTGCCAGATCTGGAAGGAAGGGAACAGTGTCAGAAGTGTCCTCACCATGGCCTGGCATATGCCTGAGCCTGGTCCTCAGCCTTCTCCCCCACCCTCCTCTACTACTGACAGAGCTACTGTTGGCAAGTGAAAAGCAGAGGCTGTTTCCAGGCTAAGCTGTGAGGAGCCACTCACATCTGTCTTCTTGCTGGCTGATCTGGCGCTGACACCCAGACTCTTCCCGAGATTGTCACAGCAAGTTAGGATGGTGTCCCCTGGAGTCACTATGATTATCACCCCCCACACCACAGGCTCTTCCACTTCTATGCAAATGAAAAGACCCCACTAAGCCCCCATTTCCTCAGTGCAGTGCCAGGATCAGCCCACCATGCTGCCCACTTTGACAGAATGTTGCTGGGAGATGGGCTCAGCTTGGTCCACAGAGAATTGTGTGAACTGTTAGGGGCTGTGCACATGGAAGGTTTCATTAGACAGTTGGCATTAATAACCCACCAGTCTGGTCACTTTCACCTCCCTGGGATAGAGGTCACCTGTGCTCCAAACTCATGCTCAGAAAAATCAGTTTATCCACAATGGTTCTGTCTGGGGCCACATGCTTGGCACTACTGTGGGCTATCGACCCCAGCCAGTTAAGGCCTGCACATTCAGGCCATGAGGCTATTGGCCTACAGGGCAAAGCGCCATCCCCAAACCACATTCTCTCCAGCTCCTTAGCAATTAGGGCACCATGGGGTGGAGACATGTCAGGAGTCAGGATGGGAGCAAGAACAGAGGGACATAGTAGGTGGGTGACTACTACCTCCCTACCACATAGGAACACCTGCAGAGACACAGCCACGAGGCTGGAAGCAGGGAGACTGAGCTCTGTGGGTTCGAGAGTCAGGGAAGCCTTGGACCAGGCTTGCCACTGTCACTGGCTGTAGTACCCCCAGGATCTGCACCTGTCCCGGGCATCCTCAGGGACAAAGAAAGCTCTGCTTCCAGCCCTGTGGCTCTGTTTGGAGTTGGGAAATGTTCTCAAGGAGAGATGTTGGGTTCCATGAAGTTTCTGCTATGTGCTGGGAGGCAGCACAGTTACTAAGGGTCCAAGGGTATACTGGGAGCGGGGAGCTAGTGTATGAGGAACCCTGGGGAAAGTAGCAGAGTTTGTTTGAGATAGGAGTCTTGCTCTATAGCCCAGGCCAGCCTTAACTCAAGATGCTCCTGCCTCAGCCTCCCAGATGCTGGTATTAGTTGTGTGTCCCACTTCTCCTTCCCAATGTTCCAGCTGCCCCCACTGTCCTGCATTGTGTCTCTGGATGAACAGGTCCCAGCACTAGCAAAGCCTGGCCTCCCCCTATCAACCCTGGGACAAAGGGAGCTACTGACCTCTGTCCCCTTCCCCTCTCGGCTGAGGTTGTGCTGCCTGCCTGCAGTCCACCTCCCCAGAGTTGGCAGAGATACAGACTTAGAGGAGAGCACTGTGCCCTGGCTCCATGAGCTAGACCCTGGAGGCCCCAGCCTCATTCCCACATAGGCCCAGCAGAGCCTGCATGCTGCATGACAGGACCCAGAAATCATCTAGGCCCTCTTGTGCCCTGACCTCTTTGTCCACCTTGACTCCCATCTGTTGAAAGACCTTGGAGATGCTATTTGGGCTATTTCTTGACCCATCTTCCAGAAGACTTGGTCATCACAGCACCAGGAGCTGGTCTTAACTCCCAACCCCAGAGTATGTTTATGGTAACAAAGGCCAAGTGTCCACCAGATGGGCTGCAGAATCCATCACAGGAGGAAGGACAGGCAAGAGGGTGCCTTTTTTAAAAATGCCATCAGCCCTCTAGGGAGGTAGGACAGAGCCATGCAGTCTGCCCCAGTCTGCCTGCAGAATACTGGTGTTCATCCAGGTTCAGGAACTTTCTGTACTCTTCCGGAATCCCCACTCCACAGGGACTGCTCCTGGGAAGGGATGCTGGGGTCCCAGGAGGGAGAGAAACTGACTCTCATCTACCTTTTTGCTACTTAAGTCACTGACCACACAGGAATATGACCCTTTCCATAAAACCAGGTGAATCAACAAAAATGGCCTTCAGACCTTAGGAAGGGTCTTGGTATATACTCAGGGACTACTGTGGGTAACAGCCACTGTTCCACAAGGCCCTCAAGGTGCCCTGGAGCCCCTGTGCCCAGCCCCTTCTGTCTTTTTCCCTGACACCCACCTTCAGGAAGTCCTCGAAGGTGATCCCCTCGTACACCTGATCCGGCTCCTGCGAACAAGAGTGTAGACACTGAGTGGCCAGGGACTCGCCTCTCCCCACACCCAGGGCTCAGAGGTAGAGTTACTGAGATACAGTCAGAAGAAGGGGTCATTTGTCTCTAGTCAAGGCTAGTCACTGTGAACCCAAACAGAGGATGCCCCCATAACCTCCCCCAGGAGGATCCAAGAGAGAAAGGGTGGGCTCAGAGGTAGGCTCTCCTTCTCAACACTGCCTACCTCCCGCTGTCCCCAGCAGTCCAGCCACTAAGACACCTCCTGCCACCCTGTGTCTCTCCTCAGCTCCTTGTGCTAAGAGCTATTCCAGGCTAATCTATGCTCATAGCCCACTGGGGCGAGGGGAAGGGGGATGAAGGGCCCTTGGGTCCACTCCTGCGTCATGAGTCACCATGATGATGCCTGGCCCCCAGGGAGGGGGATCAGCATGGCTTCAGTCAGCAGCCTCCCACCTTGGAGCACGTCTGATGAGGCAAATCTCCATTTGTGTCCTTCCTGCCCTAGGGGCCATGCAGGGGCTCCTGACAGTTTGCCTACTGTATATCCAGTCTCCAAAAACCTTCAACACCTGAAGAGGGCCCAGGAAAGGTTTCCGTTGGGTGCTCAGGTACCACTACACTGCCCAGAGTCCTCACGAAACTGTCCTTCACATGGCCATCTAGGGGCCTGTCTACCCGTCTCAGTGTGGGAAAGGGTCAGAAATGTGTAGACAGCCAAGAAAGAAACAGGAAACCCACAAAAAGCAGAAGTGACTGCACATCAGAACACACAAATGTCTGTGTCCCAGACCATCACAGCCCCGCCTCTGCCCTCTAGACATGGGTCAGCACCGAGGGCATGAGGCCATGTCCACTCAAGGCCATCTTGTGTAACTAAGCAGTTGGAGAGCTGGACAGGAGCTTAGTGGTACAGCATGTGCTTAGCATGCACAGAACACTGTGTTAAGTCCCCCACACCAAAACTAAAAGTAACCAACCAAAAAACCCTCAAAGACACACAAGTTGCATGTCTGTCTGCATGTGTAGGAAAACACTCCCAAGAGCAGCTCCCTCTGCATGACAGGGCGTGGGGTGGCTGCCAAGAGCTTGGAGAGGATGGGGCCTTTCAACCTCTGCAAAGGCCTGAATATAAACACAAGTGTGGGCCACGGCCAGGCATGTCCCGGGTCCCTTCCTGGTGACATGACCAACACTGGTCACTCATGATATCACCCAAGGGGCCTCTGTCCTCATGTCCACCTTACAGAGGAGGCTGCAGGGCACAGGCCAGCCTGCTTTGTCTGCCAGGAAGAACAAGCCTATGCAGGTTGCTTCGGAGCAAGGGTTCTATGCCCTTTTGGGTTTCTTCATTTCTTAAAACATTTAATGAAAGCCTCCAGTTCTCCATCGGCCTCGGTCTGCCCTGTCCCCGAGTTCTTTCCTTCCTGTTCTTCCCTCTTATGGGCAGAGAGAAGTAGCCACCCTGGAGCACCTCAGCTCCCAGGCCAGCTGAGGGGAGCTAATTATAGACTCGGCCCTACTGCCTGGGAGTAGGCAGGAGGAGGCTGATGGCAAGGACAGAGGGTCAGGGGTGGGGGCCCCCAGGATGAAGCCCAGCCCAGGAGCCCTACCTCCAGCCACCAGATCCCTACACAGATATGACCTACATGTCTTAGGAGTTGTACTTAGGAGAGAAGTCACTACCCCAGTGACTCTGGATGTCCATCAAAGCGAGGATGGTGGCTTGCTAGTCTTCAGTGGGCAGCGTGGTCAGAGATGTTAAGCATCCTTGGAGGCCATTGGCATTAAGCAGCTGTGGCTGCTCTGACACCCAGCTTAGCTTCAGAGCTGGGTCTGTGTTGATCTGGCCTATATACAGTGTGCTCCTCACACAGAGGGCCCATAGGTACACACACATGCCAGGGTAGAGGCCCTGTCTCCACTGACTGGGGACCTCATTGGGGAAGCCAAGCCTCCAGGAGAGGACTCTGCTTCTGAGGCTGAGTGGATTCTATGCAGCTCAGCAGGCACCAGCTGCCAACAATTTTACTACACCCAAATTAAGAAAACTCTCCAATTGAAAGTGGAGTGGGACAGGGAGCAATTTGGAGAAGAATGTAATTAAACAAAATGGGTGTTTGGCTCCATAACTGGGGAGGAGGGGGATCCCCGCTCTCTCCACCAGGCCACAGCCCTTCCCTAAGGGGGTTCACATGCTGAGTGTGGTGGTTTCACCAGAGCCAGCTGCCTCTGTGAGAGAAGCAGACACATAAATACAAGGCAGGAGGAGGGCAGCCATGACCTGGGTTTGGGGGATGGGGCTCTGTCCCTCCATGACAGCCCTGGAGTGCAGAGGGCAGATACAGCATGGGACCACTTCCACCTGGGGTTGTGTGTGTCTAAACCCTACACTGCCACTCTCAATACATGGGTGCAAAGAGGTCAGAACTTCTAAGGGACCACCCATGGATGTGGATGCCTTCCTAACAAGTGATCCCCAGAGGCTGCACCCGACCCTACAAGAGGGAGTCCAGTACAGGAAAGACCACAAACTTCACAGAAACTTTGTGCTCCCTGAGTCTGTTTTCCCAGCAATATAATGAAGCAAAAGCTTGACGAAATGATGTGCACTGGAAGCCAAGGCCCTGCATCTCTATCATTCCCTCATAGGCCCTACCTCAGCTTCTCAGATGACCCATACCAAATGATCTCCACAGCCCAAAAGGAAAATTCCAGGCCCACCAGGTCTCAAGGTCAGAGGCCACCTGAATTGCTTATGAAAAAAGCAATGTGCTTGTGGCACCCATGCCTTTGCTGGCCAGGCCCAGCACTGCCTAGGGCTGTCCAGCAGAGCCCAAGAGACTGGAGAACACTGTGGGATCACTTGGTCCCCAAGCCCAGGGCCTTGAGCTCTACCTCTCTGCATCACATGGCTTTCTAGGACCTTCCAGATCCACAGTCTCCAGGGGCAGAAAGAACCTGGAGAGGTTCTGAGCACTGATTCATACTCAGTCCTGGTTAGAGTAGCAAGCAGGACATGCAGAGCCTCTGCCCAGTGACCTTCTCGAAGCAGACTACAACCAGAGGAAAGGCACTGTGTACCTATCTGGAGAGTCATAGGTACAGGGGTCAGCTGGTGACCTCTCACCTCCCTGACCTTCCCTCTGTCCACGCCAAGGGCACTCACCATCTGCCCCACACACACACTGGCCGCCTCCATCATGGCTCCATCTGCAATGGATCGAGCCGACTCCTTTTCAATATGAGGGTTTCCAGAGAGCAGCTCCTCCACCACCTGTGGGATGGAGAAGAGATACTCGGTGACCTTGGGCCTCCATAACAATCCAAGAAGTGGGGGGTGCCAGGAGCCTGGGGCAGGGCCAAAGGAGCATACTTTACATTTCGATATTCTTCCAGGGTGATGCGCCCATCGCTGTCCGAGTCGTACATGTGGAACAGAACTGGGGACAGTAGAGGAGATAAGAGCCCCATTAGGCAAAGCCAGGAGTGAAGTGTGGGTCCATTGCTCCCCTGGACTCCTGCTGTGAAAACTGCAGCAAACTGAACACAAGACATTATGGCAAGACTTGAATGCCAAAGCCTTAAGGGTTAAGGGCACCAGGTACAGGCCCTAACTGACCTCTGCCTAGTGGGACAACCCTGAGAAAGAGGCTGCTCTGAACTTCAGTTTCCTTATCTACCTCATGAGTAAGCTAGAGCTGGAGTCAGGGCCCACCATCCCTGCTACACTTCAAACATGGGTGACAGGATTGAGAGTCTCGTTAGCATGAAGCCAACTGGGTATAATTTCAAAATGCCATGTCCCAGGCTACCCTGCCCACATCCTGCTCCCTGGCTGGTCCTACATAATCCTGAGGGCTTAGTGGAGCTAGATGTTTCCCTCTACCTTGGCATCAGCAGGGCAGAAATAGGCTACCAAGTGGCTGCCCCCAGACAGCCTTAACTCTCTGACGCACTCCACCCTGGTGTCAGGAACCAATGCCCAGCACTGTACAGGGCACTTCTCAGTCAACGTGTCCTTCCCTGACCCCAAGAGCTCGGGACTGTTTGGCTCCACTTCCCAGATGGATGTTCAAGGCTCATACAAGGTAAGACCATGGTCCAGAAAACATGCTTGGACCTGTGTCCATCTGATTCCAGGACCCGCATCCCAGAGCAAACAGGACACTGGGTAGACAGTGGATGTCCCCCTGATCAGAGTGACATAGGAGGCCGTCTGGCTGTTCCCACCAGCCCTCATCCATACTTGAGAGCTAAACATAGCAGAGTGTACTGAGCCCAGGAAGGTGGGAGGGATGTCAGGAGTCATGGAAAAGTCCACAGGGAAAAAGGAGATGTGACTTGGGCCACTGCTTAGACTTGGGTCACTGGAGCCGTTGTCCAGCCAGGATGGTGACTCCATACCTGCACACCAGAGCCTGTGACCAGTGGAGGGTCTCAAGAGGACTGGTTATGAACTGTGCTCAAAGCAAGCCAGCAGGTGTGGACCTAGACTCGGGTTCACCTTGCCTGTTGGAAGGTTCTATCTGTGAGAGTCCTCAGTCCCACAACCCCCCATGTTTGCAATCAGCACACTGTGACCAGGTCAAGATCACACAGCACTGAGTGGAGAGGCTCCACTGGAACTCAGGAAACTCTACCCCACAAGCCTCATGCTGAAAGCCAGAAACTGCTGGATTGTTAGGAAGCTGCCACAAAGGTGCAACTTAGGGGCAGGGACACAAAGCGTCACCATGACGACAGTGCTACAAGGATGCAGGCTTGTCCCCACCCTTTCCCTTCCCATGTGGCCCAGCCTCCTGCTGCATTGGAGCCCCACATCCTGAGGACTTGGGGGAGCCCCAGGCAGGAACTCAGCACGCACATCTCAATTTCTCCTTTCGGGACAGTTCCACCTGCTCCTCTCCCAGGGTGGTGTCAATGGGCCGGAAGTAGGACATGATGGTCAGGAAGTCCTCAAAGTTGATCTCATCAGCTAGGCCACTGGGCCCCTTGCGCAGGTTCCTAAGGGGAAGCAAGGGAGTTCTGTTAATCAGCTAAACAGTGTCTCATGGACCTGCAAGATGGCTCAGTGGGTAAAAGGTACTTGCCTTTTTATTTTTTTATAATCTTTTAAAAAATATTTTATTTTTTTATTTTATGTGTATGAGTATATTGCCTACATGTATATAAGTGCACCTGTGTCATGCAGTACCCACAGAGGTCAGAAGAGAATGTCAGATCATCTGGAACTGGAGTTATGGACTGTTGTTAGTCACCGTATAGGTGTTGGGAATTGAACCCAGGTCCTCTACAAGAGCAGCCAGTGCTCTTAACCATTGAGCTATCTCCAAGCCCACTTACTGCAGTCTTGACAACCTGAATTCAACCCCTGGGACCCACATAGCGGAAAGAGAACCAACTCCCACAAGTTGTCCTCTGACCTCCACACCTATGCTGCGGTATGTGTGTGCACATGCATACATACTCAAAATAAAGAAATGTAATTTTAAAATTATCAAAAGTATTCTTGTCTTTCCACTACCAACAGTTGATGGACAGCGGCCCTGCTGGATACACACTAAGCCTTGGGCCCTGTACCCCAAGATCCTGATTCATGGTTGCCCAAGAGAGGAAATCCACAGCTCTTACAGAGCTTCCCATGGGGTATGAGGAGAAATCAAATAATTGTCAATGAGGGCTGGAGGAGGGACACATGGCTGGATTATGGTGCACTTGTATTTGGGGAAACTGAGGTGCCAAGAAATTCAGTAACTCACCCAGGGTCTGTTCCTGATGCTTGCCTTTGTTGTGGGGGTCAGCAAATGACTACAACCCACAGGCAGCCAGAGTGACCTATATCAAGTACAGGGCTGATTCACCTGCCCCCTCACCTCAAAAGCTACCATCCCCGCTCTGCTCTGAGGTTCACATGAGACCCTGTTGATCCACAGACCCTGCCTCCCACACCTTTGTGTGCCCAGTCTGTCTGTGCTCCCGCCAGGCTTAGTCTCTGCCACTCTTGTTTCCAGGGTGCCACAGCACCTTTGCACGTGCAGCTCCATTTGCCTGGAGCACCTTCTACCCCTGCTTTGTCCACTTGGTCATTTTCCTCAGGCTTGCCCCACACAGGCCCTGAAAAGCCTCTGCATCTTCTGGGCAGTCTGAGGACTCCCCCTACCATCAGGAACAATCATAGTTCCTGGTGAGGCTCAGGGAGGCTCTTTGACTTCCCCAAGGCCTCACAGTCCCCGCAGGAACAGAGCTGGGTAGAATGAGCTTCTGTAGCCCAAACCCAGCAGGAGCTTTCACACACCTGCCCCTTCCTGCCCTGTCTGCCCACCTCCTCCCTGCTTCTATTCCAGCTCTGTAGATATTGGGAGTGACCAGTGTCTGGCCTGGCATGCTTATCACACTTACCACACAGCCTCGGGCACAGTGAGCCCCTGCTGTGATCCCTAGACTCTTTCAACTCATCACTGAACCATGAGCTCTCACCTCAGCATGCCCTCCCAGCAAGCCTGGGAGCAGTGTGACTGCCACCTCAACTCCTACATGAGGAGCAGCTGCCAAGAAGGCCCCCAATAGACGTCCTGTCTCCCGGTACCCAGGCCCCGGGACCATCCCTTCTCAAGTGTGGGGCAAAGAATCAGGCAGCTATGGGACGTCTCTTCTGAGATTACAGAGCACTGCAGCTTCCATCTGGTGTGCCCCCACCCTCTTCCTCTCCCTCAGACAGTTCACTCTGAGGAAGCTGTAGCCATTCTGGGAGCAGCCCTGAGCAGTGGGCAGCCCCGTACAGTGGGCAGCCATATGCAGTGGGTAGCCCTGGGCAGTGAGCAGTGGGATGCCTCCAGTGATCAATGACAGTGAGCTTGGTGACTGTGTTAGTCACTTTGCATCGTTGTGACAAAATACCTGACATAAATAACTTAAAGGGAAGAAAGTTTATTTTGGCTGCTGGTTTCAGAGGCCTCAGTTCATTGTCCATGGCTTCAGGCCTAGACAAGGCAGCCCATCATGGCATGGCAGAGGAAAGCTACTCACCTCATGGCAGCCAGGAAGCAGAGGCAGGAAGGAGCCAGGGAAAGGGTATAGTCTTCAAGAACACATCACCAGGGACCTGGCTTCTCCAACTCAGCCCCTAGTCTAGCTTAACCATCTCCCAATAAATAATGTTATCAAATGGCAAACTGTCAGTGCATTTGTTGGCTGAAGAGGTCAGAGCCCTCATCATCCAATTAGCTCTCAAGAGCCCCACCAGCTGAGGACCACAACTTCAATACACAGCCTGGGATATTTCCTATCAAAATCCAAGTGACAACAGAGCCACACCAGAAGAGCTGAACATGAGATCTCCCATCCCAGCTGTGGCCACATGCCCAGCTGAGCCAGAGCCCCAGTGTATTTGGGCCTGGATCCCCAACCTACACAGGCCACGAGAGGGTGAATGCTGGGTTTGGGGCTGGGGCGGAGTCCACTGGGAGGGAAACACAGAGGAAATGTGGAAAACAAGGTTCAGTGAGTAAAGTGCTTGCCAGGGAAGCATAAGGACTGGAGTTTGCTCCCCACCCCCCCCCCCCCCCATTAAAAAAGCTGGGGGGGGAGCTAGAGAGATGACTTAGCAGTTAAGAACACCAGCTCCTCTTCCAGAGGACCCAGGTTCAGTTCCTAGCACCCACATGGTGGCTAACAACTGTCCTTAACTCCAGTTCCGGAGGATCTGATGCCCTCTCTGACCCTTCCAGACATTGCACACACATAGTGCACCTGTATACATACATGCAGGCTAAATACTCTATACATAAAATACAAATAAAATATTCTTTAAAATTGTAATAAATCCTTTTTAAAAAGTAAAAGCTGCATGTACTGCTGTGTGCTTGTAATTCCAGTACTGGGGAGGCAGAGGCAGGAGGATCCCTGAAGCTCACTGGCCAGCCTTGCGAAATCAACAAGCTCCAGGTCAGTGTGAGAGATCTTTTCTCAAAAAGCAAGGTGGATGACACCTGAGGAATGACAGCCAAGGTTGTCCTCTGGCTTCATCCCCCATCTCTCTCTCTCTCTCTCTCTCTCTCTCTCTCTCTCTGTCACACACACACACACACACACACACAAACGTAAAAAACAAAATCAAAACACCTCCTAAGTGTGGGGTCATTTGTTACACAGCCAGCAATGACTCACACAGGAATTGAGATAGCCCAGGCAAGCTATCCAAAGCCATCCAAGACTGTCTGGCCCCCAAACCCAGCCCAACCCTGCCCAAGCACAAGCTCAAGGTGGCCCACCTCAGGCCCACCCAGGGGAAGGAGCGCACCTGTTATCAAAGAAGGCACGGACAATCTTGGATCGGATTGGGTTGAGCTCCAGGTCAGGAACATTGTTGAAGTTCTCCTTGCTGCATTCCATGAGGCACAGGAGAGGGGGACAGGAGAGAGCAGGCATCAGCGACTCCCACTGCACACACCAGGTGGCGTCACTTTATCCCTGACAGCCCCCACCCGTTGGGAAACAGTGCAGAGTCAGGAGAGCTGGAACATGTATCTATGTGTCCCTCCCCCTGCCTGAGATGGGGTGAGGCTGGGGGTATTGGGGGACAATGATACTTTGGGGGACCTGGGAATAACCTGGATGCTCATGCTGAGCAGGCCACAGAGACAAGATCTTCAGAAGCCTGTGAGAAGTTGCTCTGGGCTCCCAGCAATAGGATACTGGCCTGAAGGGCCTCAAAAATACATACCATCTGAGCAGCTCATGACCTGACATGGCTCTCAGCACCTGCCCAAGGGAAGCAAGCACCCACAGGTGGCCTCCACAGGAGCAGGGTCATAACTACACAGGAGGCCAGCCAAATGCTTAGGTAAATGGTCAGCTGAACTGTGGTCTGTCCACACAGTATAATATAATGCAGCCAGGAAGACAACCAGGGCACTGGTGTGAGCTACAGCAAAACAAGCCCTGAAGATATGACTCTGATGAGAAGTCACCAGCCAAAAGGTTATATCACAACTCCATTTAAATAACACATCCAGAACAGGCCAAGCCACTGAGGCAGAAAGCACAGGAGAGGGGGCTAGGGGAGGGACACAGGTGGAAAATGACAGCTAAGGGGCTGGACTTCTCTTGGACGATAGAAATCTTTTGGATGCCCAGCTCTGTAGGATGCTAAGCCACACATGTGTATTTTAAGAAGTGAACTATAAGGTGTGGGGGTTTATTTCAGTAAAGATGTAAAATCCGTTACTAGCTACAGGCCTGGGTACACACACAGGCCTGTATCTCAGCCACCTGCCCTCCTGCAGGAGCAACATAGTCTGTTCCAAAGCAGTGACCTTGGGAGGGAGCCAGAGCATGACCCAGGAGTCCAGGGGACCAGGAAGCATGCAGTAGGGGGATATCATTAAAATGAGGACATCGCAGAAGAGAAGTGACTGTGACCAGAAGAAACCAGTGCTAGAGACTGAGGCTGTTTGAATTGGGAGGTTCTATAAACAGTCCCTTTCCCTGTCTTCATCTTACAAGAGAGGAACATCAGGCTCCAGAGACATAAGCAGGACCAGGTGAGCAGATCTCTCCTGTCCTCTCCACCTCTGAGCAGCTTCCTGCCCCTCCCTCCTGGCTGGGCTGGTGGCAGCTGGCCAAACTGGAGCCAGCGACTGCATACAGCCACACTTTACAATAAACAGAGCCCAGTCTGGAGAAAGGACATACACTTGGGACAGTTGTCCCATAGTGATGGGTGACACTATATAACAACAACAAAAAAATAATGGATGGGGGCAGCAAGATGGCTCAGTGGGTAACGGCGCTTGCCATGCTTGAGCCCCAGAGCCCACATAAAGGGGGAAGAAGAGAACCAACTCCACAAAGTTGTCCTCTGACCTCCACAAGTTCTCTCAAATACACAGTAACAATTTTTAATGTTTTTAACTTTATTTTTATTTTATGTGTATGAGTGTTACACCTGCATATGTATAAGTGCACCCATGTCATGCAGAGCCCACAGAGGACAGACGAGGGTGTTGGATTCCCTGGAACTGGAGTTATGGACGGTTGTTAACCACTATATGGGTGCTGGGATACCAACCCTGGTCTTCTGCAAGAACATCCAGCGCTCTTAAGCACTGATTCATTTCTCCAGACCAATAACAATTTTTTTAAGGAATTAAAAAGTGGATGCTGTGGGGCATACCTGCAGTCCCAGCTATGGGGGAAGTGAGCCCTGAGTGCCTGAGCCTAGGACGTCCAGGCCAGCCTGGGAAACATAGCAAGACCCTGTCTCAAAAACTCAACACAGCAGCACAGTAGCATGTGCCTAGAATCATAGCATGGGACAGGCTGAGGCAGGAGGATCACAACTTAAAGGCCAGCCTGCGCTACATAGACTAAAGAAAACCAACCAGAGGACTGAGGCAAGTACACAGGCCGCCAAGTGAGTCTCAAAATTATGACGCTGAAGACAGAAGTCAGGCACACAGGCCGCGTTCTAGATTCCTTTTGTGTGACATTCTGAAGGGGCCCTCAGAGAGACAGGCCTGGTTTCCAGGGTGATGGGGGAGATGGTGGGGACAGGGCTTTTTGAGATGCCTAACATGATGGAACACCCTAAACGGCTGGATGGATATGTAAACTAGATCTCTGAGGCTTTTGAAACGTTCCCCCTAAACTCTTTAAAGCAAAAGGAACCAGGGCACCAGTGACTTGTTTCCATGGAGCCTCTGCAGTCAGTCACGATAATGGCTAATCACCCTTGTGATGACAACCAGGAGGGGACAGGGATCTTCTAGGCTCAGGCACACAAGGGTCTTGTCCTTTACAGTTGTCTCTGACATCTGAGCTTGGTCAGATCTCACTGTGCTGGGACAAGGCGGTCCTCCCTCCCCTAGTTAGCTGCAGGCAACCAGAGGAGGAAGCAAAAGAAACCGGAGCCCTAGATGGAGAAGGAGTCAAGGTTACCAGGGGAGACAATCGGATTATAAGTCTGTAGCGGTCAGAGGACAGTAAGCAGCTTGGTCTCAGTCACCCCGTGAGTGGTGTCACCTACGCTGCAAGCTTTACCTGGGGAACATCTGACAGAATGGGGGTGGCACAGAGAGGACCAGCCACCTGCCCAGTCTTAGCCAGCTGTGCAGTGGGGCGACCCACTAGAGTCCCAGCAGAGCAAAGCCACACTCAACCCCCAGCACTGCACTGCTCTGTGCTCCTTGCCTCCCAAAGTCCTGGTCCCTGACCAAGAGAGGGACCATATGAGCTGGAGGGAATAAGGGGGACAAACCAGACACAACCTGCAGCCAGTTGGCACCTGGGAGGCATGTAAGCCCTGGGACCTGAGTTTGCTAACTGGGGTCTTATCTGCAGCTGACCTCCCTCAGCCTCGGTCTCTTACCTGCAAGGTGGGCACACACTGAAATTTGCTGAGCAGCAAAGGGCAGGGCTCTAGAATCAGTGTGGAATCCTGCCCTGCTCTGTTGTGCTGCCTCTAACAAGTAGCATCTCTCTGAGTCAAAGTCTGTTCCTCAAGCAGCCGGAAGCTCGCTCCAGGAAATGCTGCATGCAGCCAACAGCGACCCTGTCAACGGAGATTTTCTGCCTGTCCTCAGTGCCTTGCACAGCCATGCACAGGTGCTCGGTTAAGTGTACCAGCAACTGAGCCTGAGGCAGGCTGGGACAGGCAGGGATGTCTGCTCTTCTATGGGTCCTGACAGCTGCCCAGGTTCCTTCCCTGGGTCCACCGTCTAGAAGGGACCCCCAGGGGTAGGAGAAGACAGAGAAAGGGGACAAGAAAGAAGAAGGAGGGAGACAGAAGGGGAGGGGAAGTAGCATGCAAATCCCTGTGCCCGGAGAAGGGAACACAGCCCAAGACGCTGGCCCCGAGCAGTGAGATGAACACATCTGTGCTGGACAGCTTTAGTTCTCAACTTGACACACCTGGGTAGAAGGAGCCTCAACTGGGGAATTGCGTCCATTAGACTGGCCTGTGGCCATGTCTCTGGGACATCTTCTTGATTGTTAAGTAATGTGGGAGGGCCCGGCCCACTGTGGGCAGTGTCACCCCTGGGCAGGTTGTTCTGTATTGTATAAGAAATCAGGCTGTGCCTGGGCCAGAGGAGCAAGCCAGGAAGCAGCATTCCTCCATGGCCTGTGCTCCAGTTCCTGCCTCCAGGTTCCTGTCCTGAGTTCCTACCTCGGGCTCCCCGATGAACTGGGACCCGAGAGATGTAAGATAAAATAAACCCTTTCCTCCCCAAGTTGGTATTGGCCAGAGTGTTTTGTCACAGCAATAGAAAAGAAACTAGAACAACATCCATCTGGACATGGTGTTCCCCAGCCCTGGCTGCAGGGCCCCCAGCAGGTCTGCGCAGATGTCCTCGAAGCCACATCGCCCTCGCTCTCTGTCTCTCAGGCACCTGCCAAGCCCCACACTCCTACCTACCTCCCCTTACCACCTACTTGGTGCCTCCGTTTCTGCATCTGTGAGAGGGGTCCAGGGTTAACCCTTCCCAGCATATGGGTGGGACGGGGCGAAGTGCAGAGGCAGCGGCTGCTGACCCAGGCTCTGCCCTCCATAGCACAGTCTTGGGTGAGAGCATGCTCACCTCAAACCTCAGATTTCCCAGCTGTAAGGTGGGGGCTGTGGGAATATGGAGGGAGATGAGAAGATGGAATGAGGAAAACTTGTAAGGTGCTCATGGGGCTGCGTGGATGGGGTGAGCTCTAGTTTCCACACAATGCTGGCTCAAGCACACAGGGTCAACCCAGGGGTCCGGAGGCTGAGGCAAGAGGATTGTGAAGTTTGAGACCAGCCTGGGCTATTAAGCAAGTTAGAGGCCAGCCTGGGTGACTTAGCTAGGCTCTGTCAAAAGAGAAAAGGGGCTGGGGTGTAGCTCAGTGGCAGCATGCTGATGAGGCCTTGGGTTCCATCAGTGGGAGGGAGGAGGGAGAAGGACATAGGGAGGGAGACTGCTTCCCACCAAGGTACTGGCCAGCTCAGGCTGTGATGTGGAACCTGTGGTCTGGAAGTGACTGCTCACAGGAAGTAGGTCTAGCCATCCAGTGCCCAGGGACCCCTGACACCTGCCGGCCCCGCAAGCTGAAAAAGAGGTCAGGCCTGGAGCCCAGAGCCAGGCCAGGCTAAGTAGAGCCTGTTAAGGATTACTGCCAGTCACCCTGGTCCTCGCTGGACTGGTCCAACCAGCTCAGCTCAACTGGGGAACCAGGCTGGTAGCAGCCCTTGGGATGGAGCTGCCCTAGGGATCAGCGGGGAATGGGGCATTCTAGAAGGCTCCAGGGGACACCCACTCTTCTAGTTACTTTTTCTGTTTCTGTGACAAACACTGTAACCAAAACCAACTTGGGAAGGAAAGGGTCTGTTGCATCTTACAAGTGACAGCTCATCAC